AACTCACAAGGTACAATGTTTCCATATCGATTTTTATTTGTGTTGACGGGTTTCTTAGCAATAGTCCATGAAAACTGATGATTAGGTGCCATCTGTTAAATAAAATTTACCATTTGCAAAGTCTTTTTTTTTTACTTCAAAGATACCCTTAACAAACTGTTATACGCAGGATAGATGTTATTAAGATGAAATCAACAAAGGATAGCATTTGCTCACCTTATATTCTTGCTTCAGTACAGCAAAATCATTGCATCGATTCATTGTAATAAATTCTGAGAACTCGTCCACTTGGATGGCTTGACTATCTTCGTCACCATATACGTTACCTGAAGTTTGGTATTATGGAAAAAGAAGTTAAAAGTGTTTGTCCTCCTTTAATTACTTCTATAATAATTGTTACGACACACAGTGTTTAAACTTACCAGTCACAACGTTTTCTTCACGCTGATGTTCCATATTAAGTACGTGCAAAGGTACTGGTATATTTTCTTTTTTATTCTGCCTCCTACAAAGCGAAATGTCTTAGTAAATGTAATAGTACTGGTATCAACCAAAAACCATTTCTGTTTAAAAATTCATTTGAACATACTTGTACAACTGATCTTAAAGGAGGAAACAAATGACATTTTAGCTGATATGTTTGCTTCTTCGTGTACAGCTCAATTATTCTCCTTGAATGAGCCAACATAATAGCTTTATTTCAAAAGAAAATATTAGCACATTGCTTAATATTGTCATGAAGTATTACCTTCTCCATATCAGAGCTCCAACGATAATAATCACCAGCACCAACGCTACAGCAACCAGGATTCCTATCACACCACCAGCCGACAGGGAACTTTTACTTTTCGCTATTTTTACTGAAGCGCGTTCTGTGTAACAAAATTGCTTATCTTACGAGACGTATTTCTCATCTCTTTTTCGTCTTAAATTTCTCACCAACTTGCGGTTGAGAAACTACGTAAAAGATTTGTCATTTGTTGTTGTTTGCAAAATGACTTTGACCAACGCCATCATGAGTTACCGAGCAAATAACTCATCAACCAGTATGGCTGCCGGTCACGTAGACATGTATATATCATTACATATTTTAACTAGCTTTGTTTTCTAAATAGCTCAATCATGATTTAGTCTGGAACGTTGTGGGCGTTTTGTTTCAAGTTGGCAAATAAAAAGTCAAAACGTTTTGCCCCGAGTTTTTTCCCCACCTCATTCCGAGCATTTCATGGTCAAGATTGCTTGTTTTTGATAACATCCACTTCCTTGGCTGCCTGTCTCCTCTTGTATTTATTTATTACTTAAACCTATAAAAAGTTTTTTGCCTCTAAGTTAAGTTCTTGTATATAAAATGTCGTAAGGTAGTCCATGAAGAGTCCCCAAGTAGTAGTCCTTTCTTGGACTTCAATCATGATTTCATAGAAGGCCTAGTCATACCTGATTATGTTGCACTGTGCAAAGTAAAGGAGTATACTTACCTACACTGATGAATGAAATTAAAGCCTCTCTACCATACAATATTGTCTAAAAGGTAATGAGCCAAATCAATGGACTATTCATTTCATATATAAAATGAATAAATTGCTGTTCTTAACCATATAAAGACTATACGACAAATTAAGACATCAATGCAAACAGCTCAGTCGGTATCCACAATTGTGTTGTTAAAATGTTAGAATGTTGATCAAATATATGTTGTTGAAATACTGATCCCTTATCATGAAAAAATATCACTACTTATTAACAAGCACGAGTGACAATACTTTCTTTACCTCGTTGTAGAAAGACAATGCTCGTTCAAGTATTTGATATCGTTGGCCTTTCTTTAAAGCAACGTTCTTGTACATGTTGTTAAATACAGTCCCATCGCCAATAGTAACCACTTTAGTTTTGGACTCAAATGTTTCTGCTGGCAGTTCCGCGGTGATGTAATAATGGAGGTTTTTATCTGCAGCAGTGGAATGATTGAAAATATGTTCTGTATAATTTGATGGCAACATGGATGTAGTTGTTACTTCATCTTGGAGGCGCAGAATAATTATTTGGTATGCACTGGAACGTCAAAAAAGTAAGAACATTTCATACTATATTTCCAATATACACAGAACAATTAAGCTCCTTTTCTTTTTCAACTGTTGTGATTTTGCGGGCAGCAAACTTTATTGACAGACCTATCGTTCAGATATAGTAGTTTAATCACCTTATTGGACCGTTTCTTTGCTCAGCTTTCCGAATCGTAATATTTACTACTGTCCCTGTATCATTATGATATTTGACTTGAGCTAGAGGAGCCACAGGGCCTATAACAATAGTAAATTATACAGTTATAAGAGTCATCTAATACGTACAATATATGTACTTTTCATTTCAGTTGTATATTAGAATAAGTTAGTGTTTATCATTCTGGCGAAGGAACAAACAGGGAAGAAGACTACTAACAACACCAAGAGTAAAAAACAGAAACAGTTCATGGAGTTTAACTCATGGTCATACGTACGGTCTATTGCTGTAGTTATGTTAGTGGTGCTTTCAGGGCTGTCACCACATGCAGTAGTGGCAAAGACTTTGAATGTGTAGTTGGTCAATGGTATAAGATTGGTGATAGTGAGACTTGTGGTGCTTTGTTTGTATGACCTTTCGTTTTTATAACCATTCCAATAAGACTTCGAGGCTTCGTATTTTACCTATAAAAAAAGGTGAATAATGAGGGATTTTTCCCCAAGTCACTGAGATGATCAACTTTGTTCAAATTAATGATATATTAGTACATATCCTTTTTCCTTCCATCTTCTTTCCTTCCTTCCTTCCCTTCTAAGCTTATTTGCGACTGTTAACATAATTTTACTTACAGTATAAGACTGAAGCGGATCTTTGATATTAGCGGGCTTTTCCCATTTAAGTAGGACAGTGTTTTTCTTCTTAAAGGACGCCATAAAATGTGTTGGTGCACCAGGTGCTACAAATGAAAAGGTATTATGGGAATTAATTTCTCAGAAGGCAATATGATAATTGACTAATTCAATAAGAAACGAGCAAGAGTCTGGGGCGAGTTTTCATCGGGGAAAAAAATCAGCCTTGCTCTTTTCCACCTTCATCGCCGTGTTATACAAAGCAAAAGCCTTAATAAATAAAATTAAAAGCACCCGATAAGCCTGAACCAAGTGGCTTCACACATATTTCTAAATCTACAATTGTGTCGCTAACTTCGGTACGTTTTTGAGGCCTTGCTTATAACAGCGAATGTATGGCCTCGAAAAAGCGGGGTTTTCAAGTTCACTTCTGTTTTTTTCTTTAATTATCAGGAGGGGGAAGGGAGGGTTTTGAGATGAGCAAACACGAAAGCAAACACACTCTTTCCTCCTCATCAGATTTTCTGGGAGGAACTTTTAACAACTTAAAATAGAGCATGTATAATATTTTGGTCTTTTATCAAACATTCAATTTATCCACTTCTCAGCCTCGGCTTCGAAATCTACTTTAAATAATAATAGCAATAAAACGTTCTCAAGTCACAAGTTTCTTAATATACAATACGATACGATTCAATAAAGAGTCAATAAAGATACGATATACTTACGTTGTGTGGTTATGTTGACTGGTGCACTGTATGGTCCAGGTCCAATACGTGTATACGCCCTAACGGATATGCTGTACTGTGCACACAATGATAACCCATGAATCGTATAAGAGGAGCCATCTACTTTACCACTACTATGGGTTTGTCCTGCGACTGCTTGGTTTCCTTTTCGTATCATGATCCATCTCACTTCGTAATTTATTATTATACCATTTCTCAAGTGTTCAGGTACTTCATTCCAAGTAGCGGTGTAAGTCGTGGTATTGATTTTCAATATATGCAATGCTTCTGGAGCAGCTTCAGGTTCTAGAAACAATGTATTATTTAATTTGTATTAATATAAAGTCATAACCGACAGTAGATTAAATAAGATATTAAGGCCCATGAAATTTTTTAAAAAACTAGTCAACAACGTGTAATAGTGAAATAGACACACGCAAAACAAAAAGCTATTAGCATTAGCAACAGTAAAACAATTAAAAGTTCTCTCGTCGTATGCTAGCGAGTGTGACGTCAGGAGAGTCATTATAGTTTTTATAATACACTCAACAAAATTACCTGATTCTGATTGCACATACAAGACGAGTATAATCAAAACCCANTGTGACGTCAGGAGAGTCATTATAGTTTTTATAATACACTCAACAAAATTACCTGATTCTGATTGCACATACAAGACGAGTATAATCAAAACCCAAATTGTACTCTGTGAGTCAGGAGAGTCATTATAGTTTTTATAATACAATCAACAAAATTACCTGATTCTGATTGCAAATGCAAGACCGTCTAATCAAAACCCAAATTGTACTCTGTGACGTCAGGAGAGTCATTATAGTTTTTATAATACACTCAACAAAATTACCTGAATCTGATTGCACATACAAGACGAGTATAATCAAAACCCAAATTGTACTCTGTGACGTCAGGAGAGTCATTATAGTTTTTATAATACACTCAAAAAAATTACCTGATTCTGATTGCACAAGACGAGTATAATCAAATCCCAAATTGTACTCTGTAGAACCCAATTATAAGTTGCTCAATTTTGTTGAGTGTATTATAAACAAAACAATCAAGTTCTCAAAGTGGCTCCCTCGTCCAATTTTGAAAACTTTCAAAATATCATCCGTACCTATAAAATCCGAATTGTACTCGAGATCGTGCGATTTCCTATGCAAATAGGACGTTTGCATGATGTCGTCACTGACCTCTACTACCAGACTCCCTTGCACACTTTCTTTTATTCAGTTAATTAGTACCAATTGTCTTACTATTCTCATAGGGAAATACAAATTTGAATAAGAAAGAAAATTCGCGAAGCATTATGGTAGTGGGAGTCAAATGACGCCATCATGCAAACGTCCTATTGGACTCATCTAAAGTTCGTCCAATTTTAAAACCTTTGGAAACGGCATTCGTACAAAAAAATCCAGACTTGCACCCTAATATTATTAAAAAATTAATAAAATGAAAACTACATCAAGTAAAAATGTGATGTTTTTCTCACCATCTTCTAAAGTTGTTGCATCCTGTGCATCACTCAGTGGACCGTCCTTGATAGTGTATGCCAGTATTTGGAATGAATAGGTTGTGTATTTCTGAAGTCTTGTCACCACAAACGATCGAGCAGTCGGTTGTTTCCAATCGACATACTGTAACTTGTATTTTCTTCCTGATATTTTGTAGGCTACCTTGTATCCTTTCAACACTCCATTAAT